TAAACAAAGGGTTGGGAAAAGGCATTCTTTGGAGATTGATAGAAACACAAAATTTTTTCATGCATGCATTAAAAATAAATGGAGGATCAATACTATTCTAAAAACTCAAGCATAAGAAGGTACTTGGCTTACTAATCAAGAAGATACTTATTTAATAGCATTGAATTCGTTAGAAATCTAATCCCCAAAGTTGATATCAATCTCTTACTCATACATACTTTTTTCAATGATACTTATGAATATGCTAAAGCTTTAAAGCTGGCTGATGTTCCTAATGAAGCTAAAATTCTAGAAGCATTAAAGAGCATGGATGGGAAAACAACTACAGGTCCAGATGCCTTCATGACTCAATTTAATAAAAAAAATGTTGGAATGTGGTTGGTAAAGATTTGACTACTTTGCTAAGATTTACTTTTGGGAGAGGCATCAAACAGGGAGACCCTCTTTCTTCCATTATCTTTAACCTGGTTTTTGACTACTTTTCTAAGCTTATTAACACTATATTTAATAATCATTCTTACATTCAATATAAAAAAAGGCTAAGGTTTGGCTATCCCACTTAGCCTATGTTGATCATGTGGTTTTATTTACGAATACATTTATATGTTCTATAAAGATAATATACTATACTTTATTGATATTTCAGAAAATATCTGGGCTGACATTCAATTTGGAAAAATGTCAACTCTTTATTGAGAAGAAAGTGAGTTATTGAGAAGAAAGTGAGTTATTCATTAAGAACTTGAGCCAATGGTTTTATAGGCTTTATTATTGTTGAAATGCCTTTGAATTATCTGGGGGTGAATTTGCTTATGGGGAGAAAGAAATATATGGAATTTGATGCTTTGGTTGAAAGCATCAAAACTATAATTGGATAATGGACAAACTTTTTCCTTTATTTTGAGGGAAGAATTACTTTGCTTAAAAGTATTTTAACCACTATTCTACTTTATGCTCGACATGTTTTAAGGATCAAATCTAGGACTCAAGCTTCACTTGAAAGGTTATTCAATATTTTTTTGTGGAGTGGGCACCATAAACACAAAATTTGGGCCTCTTAAAAGCTACTAGGCAAACCAATTCATGTTGAGAGTCTCGGTTTCAAACAACTGAGGCATTTCTCAGAGGTTAACTCTATTCTTTTATGGATAAAATTTTGAAATACAGATTCTTTGTGGGATTCATTTAATATTTATCTTTATAAAAGGAGTTAAATTTATTATAAGGTTTGCATAAATTTTTGTGATAAAGATTTTTTCTTGGAAGCTATTATGCAAGCCAATTCAAGGGGCTATAAGAGCGTCCCAAATAGACGATAGAGCTAATACTATTATATACATATTCGAAGAAGTATCAAACCCACGTGAGATGCCAATTTGGTAATCTCCATCACTTTGCCTAAACTTGACAAAAAAATCTTAATTTGTTCTGCGTTGTAGGAAAGATGGGTGTTCACCAACCCACCTTGAGTTTTTACAACAATGCATGCTAATTTGAAAAAACTATGTTAGAGATCATGTGGACTTGTGTTGTCTGGGTCATGTATTTTGTATGCTCATTTTTGTAGCCCCATCAAGCATGACCAAGTAGAGGGGGGAGTGGAGGCTCTTTCTTGCTCTCGGTGGTACTCCTGAATTGCCAGTGTTCATCTTCTTCGCTACTTTCTCTCTTGTAAGCCCTACCTGGGTGGTGTGAAACCATGATTATTTTTTTTATTCAACTATATATATGCTTTATTGCAACATTCAAGCGAAAATTATTGATTCGATAAAAAACTCTTTAATTAATCCTCCTTAATGTAGCTCAATAGTACGGTTACTGAAATTAATTGAATGTTAATCTTGGCTTTTTAAACGAGTTTGTGTGCAAAATCATATTTTGGGTAGTTATATCTATTATTTTAATTATCATGTTGAAAATAATGAAAATGAAATTATATTCATAATTTTAAAATAACAAAACAAAATTTATAATTTGGATAAAGCAAAAAGAAATAAATATAAAACAAAATTCACATATTAGACAACTAAGAATCTATCAATAACACAAGAAAATGTTGTGACCAACCATTAAATATTACACAATATCAATATTCTTGATTGGCCTCCTATTGCAAAATGATGCCACCACTTACAATGTCACTTATGTTTAATGATAAATTTGGTGTAAGATATAGTTTATATACACATAATCCAAGATGATATTCAATCATAAGGTGTTGATAAAATGACCCCTCCAAAAATTTTAAAATTTTCATTAATTTTAAAATGAAAATTTCCTATAATATAAATCTTATATACATTTAATGCATATAGAAATTTTA